CATCCAGATTTCAAGAGCCATACTGGCGGCACTCTGTCCTTTGGAGGAGGTGCAGCTCAAGTGATGTCGAAGAAACAAAAACTAAACAGCAGAAGCAGTACAGAAGCGGAACTGATTGCTGTTGACGATGTTGTCACCATGATACTATGGACAAAGTTGTTCATGGAGTGGCAAGGGTATCCGATTGAGAAGAATATCTTGTATCAGGATAACAAAAGCGCGATTCTACTGGAAGAGAATGGTCGCAAGAGCACGGGCAAAAGAAGCCGAGCTATCAATATTCGTTATTTCTTTATCACAGATCAAGTTGAGAAAGGAAATGTTAAGATCAAATGCAGTCCAACTGACAATATGATTGCGGATTTTATGACTAAGCCATTGCATGGTGAGAAGTTTTGCAAGTTCAGAGATCTGATTCTTGGTCCACAGGAATAGGGCAGACACGAAGTATGTATATGTTCAAAATGAAAATACAAAACAACATAAACAGTGAATGAGAGCATGTCCCATTGCTGCCAATGGTGATTGCCACAATGGCAGGAGTGTGTTGGGATATGACGAAATATGAGTTTTTACTTTCCAAAAGAAACTATTCAAGTACAAAGTTTTCGACACGTGCAATCGGAATTTGATCGTGATGTCGGGATTCGACGCAAGTCTGCCGGACGCAAGTCTGTCGGACAATCTGTATCCACACAAAAAGGGAAAGATCCTATACAAGTAGAATATTGATGTTGTGTACGATGCAGTAGGGAATAATGCAAGATGTCCCAAAGTACTGCATTCAACACAGAATTGTCGTAGAAGTCGAATCGAGTTCTATAAACAAGGGATTTTCCAAGGGAAAATCGTTGAGCTCACTTTTGTGATTGAATCATCAATTCAAGCTAAACATTAATCAAATAGGAACAATTTCACTCAAAGTATACCTAGACACAGGAGAACTATTGTCGTGAAAGTGTTGTACAGTCAATTACAAATTTAGATTGCAGAGAGTTTGTTCTGAGCGCTAAAGGCACTCACTATAGAGCACATTTTGCTTTATTCTAACAAGCTTCTTCCAATCAGTTTGATTTGGCTTCTGTACTCCTGTAGAAAGTACTGAAATAGTTGGAGCAATATCTAATCTTGCTCTCCTACTCAGAAATAATCCTTTGGCAATGAATGTGTGAAATGTTTCACGTTTTTCATCATCCAATTTTTCTCCTTTTCCAATTGATAATAAATCATTACTTGCTGGTGTAGTACACCCTTCATTTTCCTTGAACTTCACAGGAAATTCATTCAACATTCAATTGACATAGTCATCCATTCGGACTTTCACTTTCCCCCTTTTACTGAAATCTAGGGTCATTCCCAAATATTCCTGTATTTTTCCTTGCTTAGATTTGACTGGTTTGATTGAACCATATTTTTGATTCATCCATTCACAAAAATCATCATTCACTTTCGGATCGATGTGGCTCAATAACAAATCATCCACATGAAATTGAATAGTTTTTTGTTTGCCGTTCACAATTTTGTTGGCAATACATCCATCGTATGGATTGAAAATAAAACCACGTTTCTCCATGTCTCCTCTCAACTTTTTGTACCAGAGCATAGAGGCCTCTAACATCCCATAGATGGCTCGCAATACTCTCATGTAAATCACTCGTTTTCTGTTCTCAATTACAACATAATCACAATACCTTGGATCCAGTTGTATCATCATGTCTGTTAGAATAAAGCAAAATGTGCTCTATCGTGAGTGCCTTTAGCGCTCAGAACAAACTCTCTGCAATCTAAATTTGTAATCGACTGTACAACACTTTCACGACAATAGTTCTCCTGTGTCTAGGT